AGATACATACTGTATTTTTTAAAGTATAAGATCCACCTTTTTCTCTCAAAAAAGAGGGTGAAAATCTGGGTGCATCTTATACACTAAATACAACATTTTTGGCCTCCTGAAACCCTGCCTTCCTTTGGAAAAATGGCTGTGAATAGCCTTTAGGAGGCTTCCAGAGTGCTTCTGGGGCCTGGGGAGGGCAAAATGAGTGAAAAATGGGCTGTTTTTTGGCTCGTTTTTGCCCCCAGCCTCCTAAAGGATATGCATGCCCTTTTTTTGACAAAAATTGGCCCATTTTCACAAAAATGGACCATTTTTTTGCTCATTTTTGCCACCCCCAAACCCTCAGGAGAACTCTACAATCCTCCTAAAGGCTATGCATGCCCTTTTTTGGGACAAAAAACAGGCCATTTTTGGGAGGTCTGCTGAGTCCAAAACCTTTTTAAAAAAAATATTTGCCTCTTCAAAATCCAAAAAATACGGTATATAGATAGATAATAAATGTATGTTAAGGCTTTTCTGGACAAACTGTTAGGAAAAGTTATTGCACTTGTGGAATCTCTGAAGGCTCAAGGCTGCTTTCTTTAAAATCACATTGTATGTTCATAGTACCTTGACCTCATAAAATTGTTGCTGACAAAATTATAATAATCTGTGCTAGTCTGGTGGTTTTCATTGCAGTTATTGCTATGGAGATTTGGGGGCTGTCCAATCCTGCACGGTCTAACTGTTTCCTTCAGACATTCAGAGCCTGATCATGGGAGAGAGATGCCCTTTTATGCATCCTGCTACCTCCCATAATTAGAATGCTGAACACTTGTGAGCTCCCGTTGCTTGTCCCAGCTTCTGCCAACCTAGCAGTTCGAAAGCATGTAAAACATGCAAGTAGAAAAATAGGGACCACCTTGGTGGGAAGGTAACAGCATTCTGTGTGCCTTTGGCGTTTAGTCATGCTGGCCACATGACCACGGAGATGTCTTCAGACAGCACTGGCTCTTCAGCTTTGAAACAGAGATGAGTTCCGCTCCTAGAGCCAGAAATGACTAGCACACATGTACGGCAGAGGTGGGTTGCTCAGGGTTAGGCCCAGATTGGGCGAACCAGTAGTAGTGGCGGTGGGAGGCTCTGCCCATCCACTTGGACACTTCTACGCATGTGGGAACGTGCTTGAACCGGTAATAGAAAAATTGGCAATCCACCTCTGATGTGCGGGGAACCTTTATACCATATATAGCTAAGGTAACCATGGATATTCTATTTATCTACTTCGTGGGTCATACAGTACACAGAACCATAAACTAACCACCCAGTGTTGGCTTGCACAACATACTAGTCTAAAATGTATATTTTGGCATGTTGCACAAAACAGTAATAGAGAGAGGAGTTTGGGGAAAAGGAATATTTTATTTCAATAAATTATTCTGGCTTATATACTGAAATAAAGTTCATTAATATGCAGCTGGGCTCTCCATCAGAAAGCCACAATGTTCTCTTGTTTTGCTAGATGATGAAGAATTTTAATATAATATAGCAGGAGGAACACCACGAAACCACCCTTTGGGATGACTGCTTGTACATTAAGAATAGTTTCAACAGTAACTTGGTATTTTTAATACCAACATTTACACAACTGCTGAAATTACATGGGCACTTGCCTTATATTCCCCAAAGAATTGAAGCACTGCTTTAGACTCTCAGAACTCTGTATAATTTGGAACAAAGTAACTTAAGAGTAAGAGCTATATATATACTCAGTAGTTTACCACTGAATAAGCAACTTTAAAATGATCTTTTACTTTCAAACCATGTTATCTATATTGAGATTTCAAGCTAGATGGCTAACCTTCAAAAAACATTTATAAACAACTGGATACGAAAGTAATATTATAAAATTTTATCAGATAAAAAAACATATCAAAGAATTCTGGTGACTAATACACTTTATTAAAAGGCTTACCTAATTCCACTGTGAGAGGTTGTTGAACTCACGTGCACCAAAAGGCTTCAGGCAACCTCAGACGATCTCCACAAACACAATAGATTTTTAATACATTACAATTATTAATCTGTAAGATACTGGCAATCAGTCTCACATGTAAACTCCACCTGCATAGCCTTTTGGTCTTTCTCTCCCTCCCCAATTACCCAATTTAGGTCCTACATCAATCTAACCACTCTTCTCATGGGATGAACTTATGGTTTACAAAAAGCATATGCCTTGTAATAAAATGTATTAGTTTGAAATGGTTCTATTACCCTGTTTCCCTGAAAAACGGACCTCCCCAGATAATAAGCCCAATCAGGCTTTTGAGCGCATGCGCTAAAATAAGCCCTCCCCAAAAATAAGCCCTCCCCCAAAAATAAGCCCCCCCAAAATAAGCCCTCCCCAAAATATTGCAACACAGCAGCAGCCATAAGGTGACTACGCTCTCTGCCTCCTACACTTCAAAAATAAGGCCAAGTGGTTATTCTGGGGGGTCAAAAGAAAATAAGGCCCTATCTTATTTTCAGGGAAACACGGTAAACTCCTGATTTTTTTGTTGTCATATATTAGCATAGAGAGCTAGTACAGTAGATAAGGCACCAAACTAGAAATCAGGAGACTGTGAGTTCTAGTGTCACCTTAGGTACAAGGCCAGCTGAGTGATCTTGAGCCAGTTATACTTAGCCACAAACCACTTCTGAAATCGTGCAAAGAAAATAGCAAGGATTAGGCCAGTTAGTTGACTGGAGTCACACATACACCCACACCCAAATTAACATGACTCTACTACATTATCAGATATTTTTGTCAGTCTTGTGAGAAGACACTCTAAAAATCTGGTTAAATGAATAGATCCATTCTCTTTTTGCACTTTAGATTTTTTGCTGAGATCCTATCATCTTGAAAGAAAATGTTGTTATATGTTGTATGTTATACCTTTTTTAATGCTTGCCTTCACCATGATGGAAGGTCGTCCAAAACTCTTAGGTAAGTACCAGCTAATTTTGGTTTTTCTAAAAAATGAAATCTGAATTAAAACTCAAGATAAATCTAACAATAGACAGTCCAACAGCAAGGTAGATTCAATCACTGTTGGAAGACCTGAAGATCTAGGTTGGGGACCGATAGTCCTAGGCAAAATCTATCTCTCTGGTTACATCAATCAATGTATCATTCAGCTGACAATCAAAATTAACTGGCAAAAAGGTACTTTTTTTCAACTGATCACTCATTTAAGAGGGAAGATTTGTTACATACCACTATTCAAATGTATCTCATAAGGTACAATCTGAATTTCTGACCAGAAAAACATTGATTATTAAATTTGAAAAAGTAATGATTACATTTGAACTAGATCCTATTTCTCATTTATCCTTTCTTATAGGTTGGTGAGGGGTTTTTTCCCCCCTGCACACTATGCAGTAACATAGTGCTGTAGCGTATATACTGTATAGGAAGTCATATAAGGCTTTTCTCACTAGTTCAGTATCTATACCAGGGGTGTCAACTCACATTGTCACTGTAGCATCACGTGACATATCACAACTTTTCCCCCCTTTGCTAAACTGGGTGTGGGCATGGCCAGTCCATGACGCATCCGCCCCTTGAGCCATGAGTTTTACAGCCCTGATTTATACTATGTCTATCCTGTTTGAATAGAGATTCAGTATCCCTAATCTTCTATTATTAAAGTTCCACATGACATTACTGAAACTTTAAGGTAGAAATCACGGAAGTATTTTAAATAAGCAAATTGAGGTAGTGGAAGAATTTCAGATTAAGAGTGTAGCCTAACACATGTTTAATCAGTATGTTTACGTTGGACTAACTTCCATATACATATACGGTGAAATTGGCACAATAATTAGTGGAAACATTTGGAAAAGGGGCCATTGACTAAAACAGTTGACCTTGAATTAGCGAGTCAGTTTCATGCCTTTTGGATCAAAGCATCCTAACAAGCCCTAATTTTTTATATACACTCCATGCAATTAAAAAAAAAGTGTGGGTTAAAATGTAATGTATGAGGCAGTTCTAAAATGTTGATGTCTAATAGTGGCTCTTCTAATTTTATTTTTTTGCTAGAGTAGATTATATGCAAGCAAAACCAAAAAAGTAATATTCATCTACATTTTTCTCAATCTTTTTTCAATGAATAATAGCAACTTTGTGGTCAAGATATGTTAACACCAGAAAAGGCAATCCGGCACCTCATAATGATTTTGAGTAGAACTCTCATTGCCATTGCCAATTGACCTTGTTGATGTTGAGTATTGATAGAAGTGAAGTTTAAATACATTTGTGCATTAAATTGCCTGCCATTTTCTAAAAGATAGTGTTTATTTATCAAATGGAAGAATGAATCGCACTCTTACTTTCCATTTAAGGCAGTGGTGAAATTCAATTTTTTTTGCTACCAGTTCTGTGGGCGTGGCTCAGAGGGTGAGATGTGGGCTTGATGGGTGTCGTGTGGGCTTGGTGGGCGTGGCTTGGTGGGCATGGCAGGGGAAGGGTACTGCAAAATCTCCGTTACCACCTCACTCTGAGACCAGCCAGAGGTGGCATTTGACTGTTCTCCGAACTACTCAAAATTTCCGCCACCAGTTCTCTGAACTACTTAAAATTTCTGCTACCGGTTCTCCAAATTACTCAAAATTTCCGCTACCGGTTCTCCAGAACCTGTCGGAACCTGCTGGATTTCACCCCTGATTTAAAGGTATTTTACCTGGAGTAGCAAATCTATAATTTTGTTTTAGAGATCTTTACAATTTATATCTGTGTGTGTGTGTTTGTGTGTGTGCATTGTGTGTGTGTGTATACTTGCGCCCTATATCAATTATGTTCTTTAGTTGATACACTTAAAAAGTCTAAATACAATCTTAATTAATGAAGGAATATCTTTTTCAAGGTATATACTGTATGATGATTAAGCCAATTTTATCTTTTTTTCCCTCCTCCAGAAACTAAATGTAAAACTCGTGCATTGGATATTGTCTTTGTGATCGACAGCTCACGTAGTGTCCGTCCCTATGAGTTTGAGACCATGCGGCGCTTCATGATTGACATCATCCATAATTTGGATGTAGGGCCAAATGCCACACGGGTTGGGGTGATTCAGTACTCCAGCCAAGTCCAGAATGTCTTCTCTCTCAAGTCTTTCTTCACCAGGGAAGAAATGGAGACAGCCATCAATAGCATTGTCCCCTTGTCTCAAGGCACCATGACAGGCTTGGCCATTCAATACGCCATGAATGTGGCTTTTACCATACAGAACGGGGCCCGGCCACTTCACAAGAATATCCCCCGCGTGGCTGTGATTGTAACTGATGGGCGGCCCCAGGACCGTGTCACTGAAGTGGCTGCTCAGGCACGAGCTACTGGCATTGAGATTTATGCTGTGGGTGTTCAGCGGGCAGATATGAACTCTTTGAGGGCCATGGCCTCCCCTCCACTGGAGGAACATGTCTTCTTGGTGGAGTCCTTTGATCTCATCCAACAGTTTGGCAAGCAATTCCAGGACAAGTTATGCGGTGAGTAAAGGAATAAAGCTTGCATTGAGACTGATTTTTATCCTTCTTGTTTTCCTTCTCCGTACCATGGGTGGGCAAATCTTTTTGAATGTGGAAGCTTCTTTAAATTTGAAATCCCAAGTGTTCAAGTGGTGTTTCAAATGTGGGTCCATCTGTTTTGAGTATTCTGGAAATATTTCCAGTTGGAAAACAGCTCTATTTCAAACATTTCCCAAAATGCTGGAAACAGACTGTTTACACTCAGAAGTAAACTCTTGTGAAGGTTTTTCACTCAAACTCTTAAAAAATAAAGTATGTCCTATAGTACAGTAACACAAATATTTATTTATTTTATTTTATTTATATTTATTTATTTAAACACCCCTTTTGAGGTGTTTGTGATCTTCAAAGTGGGCATATGCACTGATTAAATATCTCAAAAATCCACATTTTCTTGGTTTCAAATAACTTATTCCAGAAATATGTACTGTATATAAGTAATGTAGGCGGTGGGGATTATTTCCATTACTATTTTTGTGTTGTGGTTATTGCTTCATTTCTACTATTCCATGTTGACTGGGGAATTCTGGGAGTTGTCAACCCCACCTCACCCCCCACGTTGCAGAATGGCCAAGGCTGAGAAATACTGCTAAAGGATCTTTTCTATCCAATTTCCAGCTAAAGAGAAAGAAATTTAGATGGAGCCACATGCTTCCACAGGAGCTCTGCTGCTTTAACAATATTACTGTTCCCAGCACATCTTTCCTTCTCAATATGCAAACTTACTTCTTCCAGGTGTTGATATGTGCACAGAACTTGATCATGGCTGCCAGCACACTTGTGTCAGTATCCCAAGCTCCTTTTATTGCCAGTGTAAACCAGGATACAAACTTAACACAGATGGAAAAACATGCTCAAGTAAGAATAATAGATTTATTTAACTGATGGGTGAAATTTTGAAACCATGTTGTGAACAGTCACAAAGTTGTTTTTCTGCACTGAAGAAAAACTTTTAACTATTATTCTGCTTTTTGTTTGCCATTTTTGTCTCATCATAATGGCTGTGGGATTCATTGGTTATGGGTCTTGATACTCTACAGCATGCTAGCTCCCTTTTTGCATTTTTTATTAAAAATACCTAGACAATCAAGTGATTTAGTAGTCATAACAGGATGAGATAGATGATTACTGATGCAAATGATAATCTGCTGGCCTGCCCAGAAGTGTGTGTGTGCATGCATGCGTACGCACATACATACAAACATACATATACATACATATACATACATATATACATAGACATATATACATAGACTTACTTACTTACATACATACATACATACATATACATACATACATATACATACATACATATACATACATACATATACATACATACATATACATACAT